ACATCAAGAAAAATTGGCACATTCTACTTAAATGTCAGACTATCGTTTAATACTTAAATGTCAAATACAACTTGTTGGTTCGAATAAATGATGGTTATGCTCTAAAATTTTTCAAATAAACTTTTCTGATTATTTTGACACATCGAAAAGTTCAGTGATATTGAAAAATTATTCTACTATAAATGCTTGAAAACATTTCTTTCCATTTGTTTTTGTTTCATTTATCAAATAATTTTAATATAAAAGTTGAAAAAAAGTTTTTAGATTATTTTTTCAATCATAACCTGTGTTCTTTATTTAGCAAAATTAATTAGTTTTTCGTCTTTTAAATCAGAAAAAAATATTTCAAATTTTTAAATGTAATAAAATGTTACAACGATGCTTTTTTTAATTTTTTTTTCTGCTGTATGAACAATTTATTTCAGTTAACTGTTTAAACAAATAAAAAAAACGAAAAAAATGTACTGTTGATTTATTTTGTTTTGAAAACTCTTTAAATCATTAATTTTTCAAAAAATATTTTTCTAGAGTGTTAAAAAAACTTATGAGATACCTGATAAGTGATTGTTTGTAATTAATTTCATGTCATAAAATTGGAAATGAAATTTTCTTTTTTTTTCTTGAATAAATAGGTAATTGCTTGCATATGTTCCAACACTTTAATTAATTTAACGCACTATTTCATAAGTCAGAAAAAAAATCTTTTTTCAAAAGATTTCGATTACTTAAGTTAAAAATATGCAACCCAAATTCAGCATTTAGTTTATTCCAAAATAGATGATATTATTGATGTAATGATACATTATTGAAAAATCCATATTGTATATCTCAAATATCTCAAATTCTCAAAAAATCTGAATATCTCAAAAAAAATATCTCAATTTAATTATAAAATTTGAATAAGTATTATTGGGCAGAAATTTTATTATCATTTGTTGTTATTTTGAGTACGCTATTTAGATATCAAGTTTTATTCTAATTTTAATTATTTTATTTTTATAAGATTAAACTTTGACAGCTAAATAAACAGGTCCAAAATGGAAAACCAAGAAAAAAAAAATAGAATATTACACTGCAAAAGTCAAAAACTGTAGTTAAATTTTGACAGAATTCAATTCATATCTTTTAAAGTAAATAAGAACTTCATTACTGGTGTAAATTTTGCCATAATATACTTAATTTTCTTAACAATTATTCGTATTCAAATCTTACATTTGTTTAATCTCTTTCTGTCGTATTTTTGACTACTATTTTTGCTATATATTTTTTTTCCTTGGAAATTTTCATGCTTCTTTTTATTTATTTAAAGTAAATTAAGAAATGGCCTAAAATTTTGTGCGATTTTTTTTCATCAAATAAAAGAAACGAAAGAAAATGATAAAAAAGAGAGAGAGAAGAAAAAAGAAAGTAAAAAGGGAAAGAGGAAAGTGAACGATGAAAAAAAAAATGCTTGGACAGTAACGGAAATTATATATGCCTTTTTTTAATGCTTCTTTTCCGGTTAATCGAAATTTTCATACTTATAGAATTGTACACTATACGATTGAATAGTGTATATATGTATATTTAGTGCAATTATATTGGAAACATTGCTTTTCAATTCCCTTATTTTTCATTTTAAATAAATAGCTTAATTTTAGACCCATTAAAGAATACGAATGAAAAAGGAGAAAATATTGAGAAAGCAATTTTATTTTCGCCTTTTTTTCCTACACTTTCTCTTCTTTCTTTTCTCTTTTCCTCTCTCTTTCTCTTTCTTTATTATCTTTTTTTTTCAGTTCAATATCTTTTAAGGATAGTTTTTGGATTATTGGTTGATAATTTTTTTCCTCTCTTTTCTATTTTTGCTTGAAAATCTATTGTTTTTTCTTTCATACCTTCTTCTTTTTTCTTTCTTGTTAAAATTCAGAGTGGAAAAAAATGGAATTCTTTTGATGCTCAAATTAAATTATCATAAAATTTTTAAATTAGTTATTGATATTATTAGTTATAAATATCACTACCGCTACTAATTATTACAATTTTAGAATGATTAAATGGAAGAAAGCATAAACGACGGAGATAAATGACAAGAAAAATGACCTAATTAGTAATGCAGATAATTAAAATTGAAAAAAAATTTTTGCATATTTATGCTACGATAATTTTTACAGCTATATTTTTTTATCACATTTTGATACTTTTTGCTTCTTAATAATGAGCCAAAAAAAAAAAATTCCACTAGCAATAATTTTGGTCGAAGAATGAATGAATCAATGAATCAATCGGTAGATAAAATAAATACTAATGGATCAATGAATCAATCAATAAATACTTCTACCGAGGGATAAAATAAGAGTTTATAAAAAAAAGAAAAAAAGATTGAATAGATTGAAGAAAGAAAAATGAAAGAAGAAAGAGAAAAAAACCAATAAACATTTGCAATAACGTTTGTCCCTTTCATATACCGATACCGTCACCCACATTTCCCCTATCCTCCTGTCCCCCGCCTCCCCGTCTTTCTGGCATATCCAATATGAAGTTGCGATTACTGTAGCAATTCTTCCTCTCTACCTCTTAAAAGAAAAAGATTGATTATTTCATACATTAATAAAAGTTCTGCTCAAAAAGCTCTTCCAAAAATTGCATTGTCCTTGCATAGCAATTACTCATATGAAAGAGGAAAAAGAAAGATAGAGAGAGAAAAGGCGAGAGAGAGGGAGAGGGAGAGAGAAGAAAAGAAATGGTTTCACTTTCAATTGTATCATATCCGAGTAGCTTCCAAATATATACATATATAAATAGATGGATATAGATATTTCTCTATTCTTTTAATTTCAAAACGATAGTCTTCAAGAGTTTTTTTTTTTTTTTAAATTATAAATGCTTATATATGTTGAGGTTAAGTTTCATATTTACAAAAGCCAAATTAATCATGATTATTATAGTGACAAACATGAACTATAAGTATGCGCGGGATGAATTTAATGATTGAGCAAATAACTTTAATAAATATTTGAGAATGATGATATGCAAATGAAATATAATGAAATGTGAGAGAAAATGGAAAAAGTCAGAATGAATTATAACGGTTAATTGGATAAATATTAATTTTATTGTTTATGTAAATAATTTCTTTTCATTGCAAAATTTTTTAGCCGTCAGCGATGAGATAAAAAATATTTGTGTGATAGAAATTCACATCAACGCATCTATTTTGAACTGAGTTGCATCGATTTGAAATCAAATTAAACTTCTTATTACATTTAAAATAAAATGGCATTTTTGCAATCATTTTTTCCAGTTAGAATACATCAGGGATGACAAATGTTAGGCGGCATAAGTAATGAATGAATTTGAAGAAATTTTTGATTGTTCTAAATCATTTCATATTCCTTTCACATTTTTTCATTAAAAAATTTTACCTCTTTGTTTTAATTTTGTTTTCCAGTGATAATGCAAGATTTCTGTTAGATGACTTATGAATAATTTTCCAATGTACTGTATTAAATCGCAAAATTTTTTGTCACAATTTTAGTGATTTGTGCAAAAACTGGTCTAAATTTTATCAAATTGTAATTAAGTCAAATTTAATTTTTATTAAATATAATGCATTCTCAGCTTATTGTCACTTGATATATGTTAAATTTCGATTTTCATATCATCTCAATTTCTTTTTATCTTTATTACGCCTATTTCCTACAAAATGTAATATGAATTAGTTATGCAGTGCGTTCAACGTTTAAAAACTGTTTAATGCAAAAAACAACTATTGATGATTCATGCCGTTGTCACTCGAAAGCAAAACTCTTTTCCTATTAGGAATTAATTTTTCAAGCATTTTATTCGCATATTTTGATTTCGTCCAAACTCTCACCATCGTTTAACAAGTCGCATTTGAATTGGATAATATGCGCAATCCCGCATATGCTAATTCCGAATATAAATTTAGACATACGTAGTTTTTCTGATTTAGACATATGTAGTTTTTCGTGAATTTTACACATGTTCAAGAATTACGATATATATATATATATATATGATTATGTGTGATTACGCGCAGTTATTCTATACAATAGAATTTTTTCCGTATTAGAAATCAACTCAAACTTTGATCATTTTGTTTGCAAATTTTAATTTCTTCCAAAAATTTCTATCACTTAATTGGTTATACTTGCATGAATAATCCATGCAATTATTAATTATACTTTTAATTCTTTGAATATATGCAGAACTTGTTGGTGAATATTTTAAAAATTGTAAAAAATTATATATATTGAATATATACATAATTAATTGATTTTAGATGAATATTGAAGAAATTTTACCCGAATTATTTGGAGAAAAACGTGTATACTATTGTCAACGCTGCTTAAATCACGGTTTAGAGATAAAACGTAAAAATCATAAATCAGAATGCGCTTATCGATTTTGCATATGCAATGATTGTCAGGTAAGTAAACAATAATACAGATGATGAAAAGTTAAAACTAAAAGAAAATGAACAATAATACGACTTAAAAAAAGGAACAGTACTATGTCGTTTATTTATTATTTATAATTATTACCAATAGATTACAGCAATCATTTTTTACTGTCAATAATTTATAGTAATTGCCTCTTGTTTTTAATAATTACAGTAGTCAATTAATATTGTAATAGAAATCTGTTTCCATTACTTTATTCTCTTCAATGCTATAATCTTGCAGTTAATTATTGGTTTTTCTTACTATTTATTTTTGTATAATAAAAATATTATGCAACAACAGTTATTAAGGAATTATCGTAATGTTGAATTTTTAATAGTATTTGGTAGCACGCTTTTGTTCCAAGCCAGTATAATATTGCTGTGGAATTTGTAGCAGTATTATGGTATCATGAAAAATTTTATTAATAGAAAATTATGATAGTGCATAATATGGCTTTGATTAAAGCAGTATTTCTGATCTGTTCCCAAAATATTATGAGCTCTTTTCGCTAAATGACATGAACTTGATTTTTCCCATCATATTTTAATTTAGATGGTCGATAAACGACGAGAGTTAAATTCACGATTGTTACAAATTGAAAGTATCTCACCACCACCACTACTGCTGCCGCCACCTCTACCACCACCACCACCTCTACCACCACCACCACCACAACCACCACCATTACCGCCATCATCTTCATCGTCATTATCATTATCCTTTTCATCCTCCTCTTCCTCCTCCTCGTCATCATCGTCATCATCATCACTATCATCATCATCGTCATTATCATCATTATCACAACAATCATCAAATGGTAATGTTTTAACGACAACTGCTCCTCTTCTACCGAATATGAGCATATTTCCTCCAACACCAGAACAAGCCATATCACCACCTGCTATGAAGGGAAAAGGTGGGCAGATGATGTTGTAGGTAATTCTATTAACAATTGAATCCAGTTATAGGAAAATGCTTGAATTCACAAATTTGGAACTTTTTTTTTTCTTTTCTCATTTAATATTGGCCTATTTTTTCACAGTATATAATTAATTAGCTTTTAGAAAGACGACCAAATTGTCAACGTTGTGCACAGCATTCAGTATTAGCTCGATTAAAGGGACATAAACGTTGTTGTCCATTTCGAGACTGTCCATGCGCCAAATGTCAAGTCGTTCAAGAACGACAAAAACTTATGGCTGATCAGGTTTCACACTTTTTTATGTGTGTGCGTGTGTGTGTATGTGTGTGAAGCTTCAACAGATTCATTTATATCTGTAAATTAAGTGAAATATATTTTTTAGATAAAATTAAGAAGGCGACAAAAAAAGCAAAAAAATTTGGATGCATTAAGCGATAGCGACAATTTGCGAAGTAATATAAGTAAATTTTCTGTTTTTTTAACGTTTTTCCTTTTTCATATTATTTAAATTTAATATAAAATATAAAAAATGCTTGTAAAGTAATGCGAATTATGAAATACAATGCATGTAAAAATTCGGTTAATTTTCTTCCCGCAAATTCAAAACCTTTTTAACTATAATGTATTACTCCTATAAAAATTGTGAAAAGAAACTATAAAAGTATAAAAACGTGTAAAATGTTTGAAAAGTTACAAAAAGTAAAAAATTTAAATTTTGAAAATATCGTAGCATTTTCATATCTTTCATCATTTATAGGCTTTTCCGAGCAGCAGGGCACATTATTTAGTGCTTGTTTGAAATGTGCCCAGCAAGCATTGGCCTATCAGCAAATTTTAACATTCATCGACCCAACTGCAACCCTTCAGCCATCCACATTTTCAGCCATCCTTGCAGCCTGTCCACATAATGATAATAATAACAATAATAACAACAGTGACAATAATGA